TTCTGCAAAATTGCAGTTCGAGTCCACAATATTTTTTTGCAAGTGCAGGCGTATCATAAATGGAACCTCTATTTTTTTGGGCGTTCACAGTTTAAACCTCCTCCTTTTATCACATTATTTAATTTCTATTTCTCTTATTATCTGCATTGTTTAGGGATTTGGATGTTCTTGAAAAATATAGATTAAAAAAAGCTGGAAACATAACAGTTATGGTCGTGAACAGCAGAAACTCTCAAATGACCATTAGCAAAACCCAGAGGCACATGATTACACCAACACCGGCGCCGTTTGTTTGCACCATGCAATCAGCTGGCAATCTGGGTATGTAGATTAGTTTCTAGATTCCAGTCACTTGAGACAGTTAAATCAACTGTCAAGTATGGTAAGTTTCAAGACTTTTTAGTTAAAAAAATCCAATAAAAATTCCAAATCCCAATTTAATTGTTTGAAGACTACAGTAGATGGTATTTCAGGATCTGTTACAATAAACAATTTTGTTTGTTTCTCAAACATTTTTTTCATAAACTTATTTCAATATAGGTAACGAATCCTTTTGAATAATTAATAAGTGGACTTGGGATTGGAAGGCAAAAATCTAACAACAAGATATTCAACTCCACGATCTATTTGCCCATGTGACTGATTAAATTGATGAGAGGTAAGTAAAAACAATCACTCAGATAATATCCAGGGATATGATAATGGTTGGAGTAATTCTCTGAAGTCATATGTAGGGACCATGAAGAATACTAGCTGGTAGAAAGTATCCTACTGTTTGTACAATTGAGGAAGTCATTCTTAGGAATAATTATACAGTATTACAAATCATCAGGATGATAATAGCATCAAAGAGTATAGAATAGCAAAAAGTCTGCTGGGGTTTCTTTGAAACGAAATCAAATCCCGAAAAGTACTACCACAAAATAAAGGGCGCCCTTCAAAGAAATGTAAAAGTTTGTATCAAATATATTATAACGACACCTATCTTGTTGTAGTATTTTATTTCATTGCGTGCATAGAATATCAAAGCAGTTGGACTTCTTGCTATTCTATACTTTTTGATATCACCTTAAGATCAAAATAAAACAAAGAGAATAGGTCACTAGTAAACCTGGAAATCCACTGCTATGCCCACCCAAAAATGTTCCACATGAGCACAGCCCATTTAAATGGTTGAAACAAACATTTAAGGACACTATGTCCTAAGCTCTGTGAACATAGGCTGCCTCTGAACTACATAATTAATAAGTTTGTTATATTTTTCGGTTATAAACCAAATCCCAAATTTGCCTAAACTTCATAAACTTTGAGCACAGTAAAGAAACTACAGTACTTATTTCAGAAGTAGTTAAAAATCACCTTCAAATCTCCTTATTTTGTGACTCCATCACAAAGTCATCTCCACTAAAATGCTAGATATTGTTAAATAAATTTATATATTTTTTTTAGACAGTACAGCATACTGTAAAGGTGGAACGATCAAACAAGCCTACAACTTGGAACTAAATGTCAACAAATTCTTTTTCCAACTCAACTTTTTCCAAATCTGTAATTTTAAACATTAACCTTAATTAGATTCCACATAAAACCGAGTTTTAAATAAAATAATGATCAAGATTTAATTTTAATTATCGGTAAAAGTTGGCCTAGTTTTTTTTTAAATACATTTTGACGATTCAATCATATAACTAATTGAGAGAAAAATTATAAAAAAACTTTAAGAATAATTTTGATGGATGTTATTTGGTGTAAACAGCAAGGATATCCAACGAAAGTCTGAAGAAGACTTATTTCCAATGGGTCCTTCTGGAGGTTACTAGGTAGTACACTGGGAGACTATCCCCTACTCTCTCCTAAAGAGTGCATTGCATTTTTTAATGTGCAAATGGGCTATAATGCACACAGGACCAACGGCTTAAACGTCTCAACTGAAAGACAGGCCTGCCGAAAGACGATGTGCTATCATAACTTGCATAATGCTTCTAGCTGAAATACAAGGAGAGCAGCGATGGTAATTAAACCAGGGAACAAGGTCTCTATAATTACCTCACAGGTTTGAAAATGAAGGAAATTTGGTTTGAAACCTAGGTAGACAGTGACATAAGTCCCTATCGCACTGGACTTAATTTGGTCAAATTAACCGAGTCACTGGCTAAATTGACCAAAAAAAATCCAATCCGAACGTCGGTTACAATTCCCTCGGTGTTAAATTAACCAATCCGAATGGTTAATTTTACCGACCTCAGCCTGCCCAGTAAAACTTACCACGGTCTCGGTTAAACTAACCACGATGGTCAAGAAGTCCAATCCGAACGTGCAACACGGTTAAAACTTCTTCCATGTTGACTCCGCTCGAACAAAACCGAAAGTTGAAGTCACAAACTAGCGCCCTCAATAATATTTTTTATGCATAAGGTTAAATTTTGGTAAAACTATGGTAAAACTAACCGTGTGAATAATCAAGTGCGAACAATGGTGAAATGTACCCATGACTTTGGTTAAAGTTACCCTGGTTAAATTTACCATTTTTAAAATCCAGTGCGAACAAGGCTATAGATATGTAAATCTGTGCTTAGTTAAATTGATCTGTCTCACAAGATATTTATGAAAGACATAATAAAATGACTTGCATTTTCTTGGACCTGTGATTTTGAACTACCCCTGGCTATGTGAAATTTTTGTTGATGAAAATGATGTTGTTTTATGTGCAATACAAAGGATGTCTTAACTTGACATCAAATGAATAATCAAACTGATTTCAAAACTACTGTAACGCTATATACAGCATGACCACAAATCTAAAAAAAAACTGTATTTCAAACCCGAGACACTAAAATGTTTTTTCGCCACATAAATTGTTTCACAATGGTTTACAAATCTTAGTCGCCTTACTTCAAGTCAGGGATGATTCAATTCAAAAAATAATTCTCTTCAGCTGTTGGCCTCGCTATATTGGTTGACATTATCTGAACGTAGCCATTCTGAAGTTTTCCTCGTAGATTTGGTATCCTAAACCACAAATACTGGATAGATTTACATAAGTTACTATATTTGAACTATTCCATATGGTTTATTTTCTTTATGAATACAAACCTCATGTATTTCACTCTTTACATTTCATTCGATGTTAATTTAATTTCAAACATTAACCTTAATTAAATTCCACATAAAACCAAGTTTTAAATTAAATAATGATCAAGATTTAATTTCAATTATCGTTATTTTAGATTGTGATTAATGACTTCTTAGTGACCCCCTCTCTCTTTGGCAACCTATATTACCTAACTTCGACTGATTATTACACTACTGTAGTTGTTTATTTATTTATCATACTAAATAAGAGGATAACCCTTAAGCCGGGCACCCGCTGCGGTACAACAGTCTTCGGATGACGTGATTCAATGAAGAACGCAACACGACACAAGCAACGAATCGTTTCTAATGACGAACCGTTCAAACTGCTACTGACAATCAGCAGAGGGCGTTGCATCATCTATCGCTCACAGAGAGCGCAGCTGGATTTGTGTGCGATGGTCATACGACCGTCTTACAATGCAGTAAGTGCTTTTGGCTTTACAGCACAAAGCTGACTTGAAGAGGCCCTCTGTGTACAGTACAATAATACAATACAAACTAGAAATTGCAAATTGCAAGTGAAGTGCTGCGAAGTACAACTGCATATAAATGTTCTTCGAACAAAATTATTTATGCGAGTCAAGTGAAAATAATGTAACGGGTATAGACTATGACTACTGAAACATGCTATAACATACAGAGTCAGTACAACAATGTATATGTATATATCAGAAAGTAGAGATGTTTATTCGGCAATCACCAATTCAAGACTCTGACTGGATACACATCTTCACCACCAGAATATGTCAGCTTCAACAATCCTTCAATTGTCTGCAATGTCAAAGGAAGTTTAATGTGAGTATATGAAAATAATTATCTATAAAATAAAGATGATGTGTAAATATTTCATTCATCAATTAAACTATTCAATATTTTTTTCAAGTTAATGTATTCTAACAACTTTGCTCTCAATTAAGCTTTCTTGCTGCCACAAATAATTTTATGTAAATTAATTTTTTTTATGTGAATAAATAAACCAAAAATAAATGATGAAGATGTTGATGATGGCAATGAAGACAATAATGATAATGATGATGGAGAGATGATGATAGTCATCTTAATGATGATTATGATAATAGTGATGATGTGATAATACCATAAAAATGATAGCTTTGTTGATGATGGTTGTGACATTAAAGGAGATTAAAAGAGATGATGGTGCTGCTGACATTATGGTAATAGGAAAAAGATGATATATGCTAATACACACCTTGACTATACTATCCACTTTGTCTTGTATTCTAGATGGCTTACTGGCTTCAAGGAACGCAGTGGATACTGAGCGATTCGGTTGATTACGAGCTGGACTATTAAAATAACTACTTACAGTCGGCGTCTCTGGCATTTCTGTAAAAAACAAAAGTATATTCATTTCTTCATAAAATAAGAATATCACAATCAAGTAATAGTAACATTAAAATAATATAGGAATTACTACTGTGCCTTTTGTCAAGGAATACAAGGTGCTGATTATGTTGTTATTGTAAGTCATTGGATCTATAAATTGAA